CCCTCCCCCATTCCCCCCCCCCCGACATAGACACGCGCGCGCGCACACACACCCTGTCGGGTTATGGAGTAAAGACACTCTTTCCCAAGATTTGCCAGCCAATCCTGTACTAGATTGAAAAATACAGGAAACCTATGCTGTTTATTTTTCCCTTGCATACCCCTGCCCTTACCAATCCTAAGCGGTCATTTTTTGCCCTAGTCCCACCCCTGCCTGAGCCTGTCAGTTCTCCTATCTGACAGCGGAAGTTTGCCTGCAGGAACCGCCCACTTCCTTTTGGAGTCAGGCGAGTGCGTGGCAGGAGAGGTGGAGTCAGTTTAGCCCTGCATTCTCGCGGTTTGTTGCTGGGGCGGGTTCAGGGGGCGGTTTCTCTGGCAAGTCGTTCTTGTGTGGGTGTTATCTTTGTTGCTGAGGACGTCTGGCTTTTTGCTACAAAGACTGTTGACTTTGGTTGTTTCAGAGGCTGCGTCTTCTTCAGGTAGATATAGTTGGTTTCTGCATAGGTTACAGGCATCTTTCCCTAGGATTGCTGTAGGCTCCGCGCCCCTAGCAGGAGATATGCCACGGGGACGAAAGAGTCGGCGCCGCCGTAACGCAAGAGCCGCAGAAGAGAACCGCAACAATCGTAAGATTCAGGCCTCAGAAACCTCTGAGACTCCGATGGCTGCCTCTGTGATCCCGAGCACCCCCGAGGACGACCTGAGCGGCCCGGAGGAAGACCCAAGCACTCCGGAGGAGGCCTCCACAACCCCTGAGGAAGCCTCGAGCACTGCTCAAGCCCAAAAGCCCTCGGTAACCCGGAGCAATTTTCAAGGCACCAAGAAAAGTCTCCTAATGTCTATATTAGCCCTCATCTTCATCATGGGCAACAGCGCCAAGGAGGCCCTGGTCTGGAAAGTGCTGGGAAAGTTGGGGATGCAACCTGGCCGGCAACACAGCATCTTTGGAGATCCAAAGAAGGTCGTTACAGAAGAGTTTGTGCGCAGAGGGTACCTGATTTATAAGCCGGTACCCCGTAGCAGTCCCGTCGAGTACGAGTTCTTCTGGGGACCTCGAGCACACGTGGAATCCAGCAAGCTGAAAGTCATGCATTTTGTGGCAAGGGTGCGTAACCGATGCTCCAAGGACTGGCCATGTAATTACGACTGGGATTCTGATGATGATGCAGAGGTGGAGGCTATCCTCAATTCAGGTGCTAGGGGTTATTCTGCCCCTTAGGGAAATCTGGGGCACACCCTTGGAGGGGGTTTGGAAGGATCTTCAAAGGTACCCCAAGTAATAGATCACCCTTGTCCTAAGTTGAATATAATGGGGAGGGGGGCACTGTATTTGGTATTTGTGATCAGTGCTAATTGTTTAACTGCGAAATAGAATGTCTACTTTGGATATTGTAAATTTTATTCATTTTAATATAGTGTCAATTAAGGTCACAATATGTTTTAAAACATAATTGAAGGAAAGATATTTTTCTTTTTTTTCTGTCGTTGAGATTTAGTAAAACAGTTTTGCTAACGTTATAAAATGAAGTCTTTCCATCATATTCTGTGATCTGGTATATATTTTATATCACTGAAATAGTCTGTTCTTAAAAGTTTGAAATAACCAGTAAAATGTGTCTGCTGTTGTGTAAAGAAGACTGACCAGTACCGTGATTTTGTTTAGTTACTGCAAAAATATAGAAAAAATAAAACCTTAATGACGAGGACACCTTGTTCATTCATTGACAACCAGTTATATGTGAGGCACAAATCTAGGTTTTGCAAATGTTTCTCAGATACAGCCCTCAATTCTAAAGAATGTTCCACATTATATGGGGAAGACAAATATGAAAACTGGCAGTATGGTAAATGCTGTAATAGAGAGTGATC